CTGATTTTGTAAAAATGGTCGACGACGGGTTAAACTGATTTTGCAAAAATGGTCGAGGACAGATTGAATTGAATTGATTCTACAAAAATAGTCGATGGTCGATGAATGATTGAATTGATTCTGCAAAAATGATCGATGATGGATTGAATTAATTCTAGTAATAAATTATACAAACTGATTCTGCAGAAATAATCGAGGATGAGTTGAGCTTATGACACATTAATTTTGTTGGAGTTGTGAGCGCTAAGTTCTATTAACAGCCCTAAAGCCTTAGGGGTGTGGCTGATAATTGAAAACATTGTTTCTATGTTTTTGGGCTGGGTTTTAGTTGTTTTTATGTTTTTGTCTCTCCTTAACATGTTTAAAAACTAGTGGAGTTCTTTAAAATATATTAAAAGTTTTTGTCAATATATATAAAGCTCCCTTAATTCAATCCATTTACACACACACACACACAATATTGTAAATTCAATTAATTTAAATGATAGATAGTAAATTTACTTAAATACACCTAGGTCGCCTAACCCGCTAGGTGTTAGGTCTCAACTCACCATCCAATTAGCGCCTAGCATTTTTTTAAAACCTTGGTATTAAGTAGTGAATGTTTTAATTGTTAAATTTTTGTTAAAAATACAAATATCAAAATATAACAGTTAAAACAATGGAGTATCCCATACTAAAGACCACCCAAGGATTTTGGTTATTTTGCTCCTACTTAGGTAAATAGTCATACTAACTTTTATTTGTTAATGAAATAATTCACCATCTCACACTATCTCGACAATATCATGTGGTCCCCACAACCACCACTACCCCTACTAGTAGAATTACTTTATTGACCATCTTTCTCCCATTTACTTCCATTCCTACCTCTCTCTTAATTTCCTCTCTTCTACAACTTTGCTGTGAGATTTTCATTGTGATTTTTTTGCTTCTTTTCATTGGGATGCTCGTGTGAAAAAAACCTAGATTAGTGGGAGACATAAGCATTACCCTTTCCTTTTTAGAAAAAACAGAGAGGCATGAATTTCTTTTCTGATAAGAAAGCTGGACAGAAAGTCTTGCATCCAATGACTTTGCGAATAAGAGGAGGTAAAGAAAGATAACGCGCCCCAACAAGGAAGCTTCCTGGAAACTTGTCATGGTCAGTCTTCCACTTTTATTGTGGAAAATCCTTGTCCTTTCACTTTGTAATGGTAGTACTAGTACATATATATAGGGATTTCCTTGTTGCTTCTTTGAAGGAGATTCACTTGCACGGAAGCATTACACTGGTGTGGCTCAAATTGATCCCCGCCTCAGCATCGTATTTTAACTTTATGGTGTGACAATACCTAATATGTCGATTACACCCTGTTTCATATGAAAAAAGTGCGAGTAAGTATTACTAATTGTTTAACCATTTCTCATCTATAGCTTCTCTGGTTTTTTTTTTGGGACCATTACCATTTGTTTTTTATATGGAAATTTTACGGTACTCAGGAGTATGAAATACTCTAAATGTTTTAACTATTAAATCTTTATTTAAATATGCAAATATCAAAATATAATAATTATAACCCTTAAATATCATATATTATGGAGCATCCTAAATTGTCGTATTAACTTTTCTTTGTCAATGAAATAATTCACCATTTGACACTATTTCCGACACTAAACCACCAGTACCAGTAGAATTACTCTGATGTGCATCTCTCTTCTATTTATTTCCATTCCTACCTATCTCTCAATTTCCTCTCTTCCTACAACTTTGTTGTGAGAATTTTTAGTGTGATTTTTCTGCTTCTTGCCTTGCCTATTTTCACTTCTCTCTGCATGTGTAAATTTGTATTGATCCTGTATTTTATTTTTCTAGTATTTTCTCCGAGTCCTTAATATCTTTTGCTTAATATACATTTTCAATTACCAAAAGAAGATTTAAAGTTGGGTAGTTTTATTCACATCCCATTATTGAATATATTTCACATACTTAAAGCATCTCACATTTACTTTTCCAATTAAAATTGATCTTGACGGACCTCCACGTACTTTCCCATTATACTGTCAAACACCATACTCCTTATATATACCCCACATTTTCTACATACACACCACACAATCCAAATCCTACACCCACACTATCCACATCGAAGGTGCAGCCTCAATGTTAGATGTAGAGGCGTCGCCTTGTGAACGATCCTATTTAAGTACACAAAAATTGATAAATTTGGATAACTAACCAAAAATTGGTAACCATCGACTGGAATCTTCACAGATTTAGCTGTTAAACGAAACAAAGAATTTTATTATCTTTGAATAACATGAATTTTATTACCGTCGAATAACAAAAACTTGCTGCAATCGATTTTGTAATTTGTAATTGCATGAAACAATTCATTTTGTGAATGAGGATTTTATTTCAATGGGTGGGTTTTACTGTCTTAGCAATGATAATGGAAAGAAGGAATTATTTTTGGGTTTTTTTATTAACACCTCGTACATTCTTGAATACATCCCACATAAAAATTTATTATTAAATGACTCATGTATCTTAATATGAAATGACTATTTAGGCACTATAAAATTTTAAAAGAAATTACCCACACAAAAAATATTTACTGATATGAAAATTTTCCCCTGTTGAAGATACACTTTTTATTTGCACCCACATATTGTTGGATACACCCCACATAAATTTAGAGGCTTTTAGATCCAAGTCCAAAAACATAAAGTGTTTTTTAGAGTGAGTCCAGTTATTTAATTATATGTTTTTATTTCTTTTATACTCATTTTATATTTTCTCAAAAATATTAAAAATCAATTAAAATCTTCTAATATTATGCATTTTCCAACTCCAAAAAATATATTTAATATCTTATAACAAAAAAAAAAAAAGGCTAATAGAATAACATAAATTTATTTGCAAAACATTCTACCCTAACTCAAGTAACAAATATATGAATGTGTATATTATACATATACGTGAGATATGAAATCTAATTAAAAGGTAGAAAAAAACATAACATACCTACAAGCAAGACACATTAATCTGTGACAGGTTAATTATAAAAAAAGAATCTGTTATATAGGTAGATAAATATGATTAACCTTTGATATAGGTTGATTATAAAAATTAAAATAAAATCTATAAATAGGGTTTAAAGCAAGAGGAAGAACGAGAAATAACAAAAATATAAATAAAAAGAAATAAGCAAAGAGATAATTGGGAAGAAATTTGATTTTTATAATAAATCTTATCATTGAATAGATAACTATTGATAATTAAATAATTAAATATACCAAATTGGAGTTATTTTAATAAATTGGACTATTATTAGCTCAAAAAATTAGACTTATATCAAGTTTCCCCTAAAATTTATTATTAAACAAATTATATAACATGGTATGAAACGACTATTTAAGCCTCCAAAGATGTTAAAAAAGAAAATTACTTTTTAATACACGCGAAATCATTTTCGATGTGTATTCAGATTGAATGTTTATTGTCTGCGATATATTTTTTTAAACTCTATACCCTTACCCTGTATTTGAATGACTAAACGCAGCATGCTTGTGAAAAATGTATTATTCCTTCCAGTTATTGAAAAAATGGACAACTTAAGTCGAAATATATGTTGTGAAAGTGAAGTAGATGATGCTGCTTTAGTTGATCAATATATAGCAGAATTGAGGCGCAAAATGTAGAAAAGTTCCGATATGGGGGTGTATTTTAAAGTATGTGGTGTAAGGGTAGTATGGAAAAGTAGATGAGGTGTATTTTTTTCTTTTTGAAGAAATGGTATTATCTATAATAAAGGGAAGGGGGATGAGTTAGCTTCACAATGAGCTAACAATAATGTGGTTCAAATTCGTATTTGACCAGAATCGAACTACTTACAAGTGAAGATGAATATCACTAGACCGTAGTACTAATCGGCAATACATGAGGTGTATCAAGACAAACTTTAAATAAAAAACTAGATGTGGTGCATTTAGCATGAGATGTATTCAACATTATATGGAGTGTGAATAAAACAACCCTTAGTTTTCCATAACTAGTCAAAGAAGCACTGACTAAACCATTTAGGTTCCATAACCAATTAAAAAACTATTTTCGTTGATAAGTAAAAATCTCCACTCACCAGCCTTTGGTTGCATATAAAAGGCCTTAATTTGCATGAAATCATTAAAACAATAAAAAAATTATAAAATCATATCTCATGTGAAGCTTCTAAAACATTGATTTCATATTCCATTCTTCAAAAATATTTTTTTTTTCAATCAATGTGTTTCTATATATATATATATATATATTTTTATAAATTAGAGTTTTGATATAGGTCCAATTTTTTGAGCCAATAGTAGAAATAGTCCAATTTATTAAAATAAGTCCAATTCCTTAAATCTTATTATTTTATTATCTCTTAAATGATAAGATTTATTATAAAAATCAAATTTCTTCCTAATTATCTCTTTGATTATTTATTTATTTTTGTTCTTTCTTGTTCTTTATCCCGTTTTAAACCCCATTTATAGATTTTTTTTTATTTTTATAATCAACCTATATCACAGGTTAATTATATTTATTTACCTATATGATAGATTCTTTTTTATAATCAAGTAAGATTCATGTGTCTTGCTTGTAGATATATTATGTTTTTTTCTACCTTTTAGTTAAGATTCATATCTTACTTATAGGTATGATATACATTCATATATTTGTTACTTGAGTTAGGGTAGAATGATTTGCAAATAGATTTATGTTAATATATATATATATATATATATTTTTTTTTGTTATAAGATATTAATTATATTTATTGGGGTTGAAAATTCATAATATTAGAAGATTTTAATTGATTTTTAATATTTTTAGAAAATATAAAATGAGCATTAAAAAAATAAATACATATAATTAGGTAATTGGACTCACTCCTAAAAACCATCTATGTTTTTGGATTTGGATCTAAAAGCCCCTTAATTTTATTCAAAAAAAAAGTGATTGGGGTATATTTAGAAGTTCTATTGGAAAAAAAAAAAAAAAAAAAAAAAAAGACTTACGAGGCCTAAATAATCATTGCATATTAGGGTGTATAAGTCATTCAATAAAAAATTTAATGCCGGATGTATTCAACAATATATGAGGTGCTAAAAAAGCCTTTAAAGTTTCTATTTTCTTTTCCCTGCTCATTTTTGTTTTATTTGTTCATTGACTACTGGTTCTTTTTTTTTTTTTTTTTTTTGCAGAACTCATTTTCCGGTAACTGAAAATGATTCAACAACTTAAACTGAGTTATCAAGGACTGTAAGATCAAATCGAATTGTCAAATACGTGTTGGCATTGAGTCAAATATCAGACCACAGTGAGTCCATGTAACATTTATGAATAAAAGATGCATCTAAAAGAAAATTTAAAGTTTTAGATTTTTTTTTAAATTTTAAAACATTGATCTTCTATCTTTTTACTTGTTCATTCAGTTACCGTTTGCAGTACCCGATTTACAGCAACTGTTTTTTTTTTTTCTGATGGCATTGAGCGCCCAAAGAGCTACTGCATCTCTTCTTTCGAATGAATCAGCTCCTCGATGGAAGTATGATGTGTTTTTGAGTTTTAGGGGTGTAGACACCCGCAAGGGTTTTGTATCCCATTTATACCATGAATTGTGCAAGTGCCAAGGGATTACTACTTTCTTTGACGATCGAGAGCTTGAAGGAGGAACAAGTATTTCCCTTGAGCTCCTGAGTGCGATCAAAGAATCGCATATTGCAATTGTTGTCCTCTCACCAAACTATGCCTCTTCTAAATGGTGCTTGAACGAACTTACAACCATTCTTCAATTCATGGAAGCCAGGAACTCAGTTCTGCCGGTCTTTTACGAGACGGATCCATCTGACGTTGGAAATCAACGGGGATGTTTTGCCAAAGCCTTCTTGGAGCATGAAGAAAAGTTGATCAGTATCGAAGATAAAAAGAAGGTGGTCCAATGGAAAGCTGATCTAAAAAGAGTGTCCAAAATTCGTGGTTGGCATTCGAAGGAATCTAAGTAAGCATGCATGGACAACTTTAATTTCCTATGTCTTAGTAGAGTCAAACTTGAATTCTTCGTTTATGCTTTTTTGATTGGTTATTTTATACCATGTAGGGGTGAAAGTGAGCTCATAGAAAAAATCGTCAACAGCGTGTGGAGGAAAGTGCAAGCTACATTCACGCTATTAGATTCCTCAAGGAAGTTAGTCGGAACTGATTCTGCACTCAAGCAACTAAGTTTGTTGTTAGCTCATGATGCAGATGATGTTCGATTTATTGGGATAGCTGGGATGGGTGGCATAGGCAAGACTACTCTTGCCGAGCTAGTTTATGATAAAACCTTCCACCATTTTGATGTTCATTGCTTTCTTCGCAACGTTAGAGAGGTTTCTAAAGCAGACCCTACCCTAATTGGTCTTCAAAAAACACTTCTTTTACCGATGTTGAAAGAAAAGATTCGGGACCAACAATGTGGAATCAAGTACACCGAGAAGTGCTTATGCAACAAAAAGGTTCTTCTTGTACTTGATGATGTGGATCACATAAGCCAGCTACAAGTACTAGCTAGAAAGAAAGATTGGTTTGGCATGGGAAGTAGAATTATCATTACAACTAGAAATGAACGTCTGCTAGTCCAGCATGACATAACATTATGTCATAATGTCAAGGTGTTAAATGATGATGAAGCTCTTGCACTGTTTAGTCAAAATGCCTTTAAGAAAAATCTGCCTGAGGATGGGTTTTTGGAACTGTCTAAGTATTTCATTAATTATGCTGGAGGCCTCCCATTAGCTCTTGAAACTTTGGGGTCAGCTTTGTTTAAGAGAGGGCTAGATGCTTGGAATAGTGTACGGGATAATCTATCAAAAATTCCTAATCCAGCAATTTTTGATAAACTTAAAATAAGTTTTGACGGACTAGAAGAGATGGAGAAGAGAATTTTTCTCGATGTTGCATGTTTCCACAAAGGGAAGTACATGAAGCGAGTAATTGAAACACTAGATAATTCTTTTGGAATTTCTAGTAGTATTCTAATAGATTCGCTAATTGAGAAATCTCTCCTCTATCAAGATCACCTAAAACGTATGTGGATGCATGATTTGATACAAGAAATGGCATGGACAATTATTGGTCACGAGTCTAAAGAGCCTAGTCTGCGCAGTAGGTTGTGGCTTTACAATGACATTTACCATATATTCATGACGAATACGGTAAGATTTTTTTTTTTTTTTTTTTTTTTTTGAACATACGATATCATTTACACTAACAGGGAGAAGGTGGGAATACGGTAAGAAGTTAAATACCAAGTTTGGATGAAGATATAATTTTATTTGACACTATGTTAGACTTGAATGCGAAATTAATTTGTCTTTTTTTCTTTGTTGTTAGGGAACGGGGGCGATTGAAGCCATATCCTTATGCCAACTCAAAGTAGAAGAGGTACGCCAATGGAATTGCGAAGCCTTCTCTAAGATGGATGGACTGAGGTTTTTGGAATTCGATAATTTGATTTTTTCTTCAGGCCCCAAATTTCTTCCATGTTCCTTGAGAATTATAAATTGGAGTTTCTATCCTTCTAAGTCTCTTCCAACCAACTTTCAACCACATTTGCTTACTCAACTTAAGATGCGTAAGAGCAAACTTGTTCGACTATGGGAGGGGAAAAAGGTTAGTATTGAATAAATGCTATTTCATTTACAAAATAACTATATATTATTTATTTATTTATTTATTGTTTTGAATAAACTTTAAGGTTGTAGAAGCTAAATATATGATTTGAACCTTATTGGTGTTGTACAGGACTTGCCCAACTTGAAATATATTGATCTTAGCTACTCCAATAAATTAATGAGTACTCCGGATTTCAGTGGTATTCCAAATCTTGAGAAGTTGATTCTTTGTGATTGTAAGAATTTAGTTAAGATTCACCCGTCTATTGGAGTCCTCAAAAAACTTGAAGTTTTGTACCTTCATGGCTGTGAAAGCATAAATAGCCTCCCAAGTAAGGTTGAAATGGATTCTCTTGAGACTTTCAATCTTGATGGCTGCTCAAATGTGAAAAAGATTCCAGAATTTGGGGAGCAGATGAAGAATTTGTCCCTGATTTCCTTAAAAGGAACTGCGATCGAGAAAATACCTTCATCAATAGGACATCTGGTTGGCCTTAAGGGTTTGTATCTACGTAATTGCAAAAATCTCTTGAAGCTTCCAATGGCTATTTGTACTTTGAAGTCTCTTACATATCTCGATGTGATGGGATGCTCAAAACTTGACAAACTCCCAGGAGACATGGATCACTTAGAGGTGCTTGAATTGGGAGCCACTATGACCGAGCCGCTTGTAGGTATGAAAAATCTCAAACGTCTTGTGTTTGACAGATCGGATGCTAAAGTAACGTACGGATGGGGCCTTCTCCGCTTATTAGGACTCGAAAAGAGTCGTCCTGATCCTCTTTGTTGGGGTTTGGTATTGTCTTCTCTAAATCGTTTATGCTTTTTGAGAGAGTTATATCTAAGAAATTGTAAACTCTCTGAAGGAGACATCCCCGATGATATTGGCTGCTTGTCCTTTTTGGTAGAATTGATTCTCAGTGGAAATAATTTCGTGAGTCTACCTGAAAGCATTAGACACCTTTCTAAGCTCAAGTATCTTGATTTGGAGGGGTGCGAAAGCCTTCAAGAATTGCCACCTCTTCCATCTAGCAACGAATTATGTGTAAATGTGAAAAATTGTACTTCCTTAAAAAGGTTGTCAGATCCATCCAAGTTGAGTAGCAGAGACACCAATTTGTATGACTTTGACTTCACTTGCAAGAATTGCATTGCATTGGTTCAAGATGAAGGCTGGAATAATACAATACTCTCTAGGATTCGAAGAATTGCCACTCAGACCAAGGTGCTCTCTCTTTATCTCCCCCCCCCCTCTCTCTCCCTCTTTCTCTCCCTCCCTCCCTCCCTCTCTCTAAAATAGTTCTTTTGTTACAGGGACTGAATCTATATTTCGATAAACTGGACCCAGATGTTGTATGGCCTGGAAGTGAAATTCCAGAGTGGTTCAGTAATCAGAGTGTGGGACATTCAATAAATGTGGAGCTTCCACCACCATCATGTACCAACTGGCTGGGGATTGCCTTTTGTGTTGTTTTTCAAGATCCTAAGCAAAAATTGGCTAATCTAGCTACCCTTTGTCATTATGATTATTTCAATATTCAGTTTTTAGGGGATTGCCTTCTGCGATGGGATTGTAAAATAGGGTCTCTTGAGTCAGAACACATTTGGATATTTTATTTTTCTTGTGAAAATTGTCACCAGGAACAGTTCGTATTCGAAACTTGCTTTTATGATATTGAAGGGGGAAAACAAAAAGCAGACTTCAATAGTGTGAAGAAGTGTGGGGCTCGTTTGGTGTACAAACAAGATTTGAAAGAGCTCAACCAAACATTGAAAATCCTGAAGCGAACACATGAATATCGTGACGAGACAGCTTCAAATGGGCCTGAAAGTGCTAGATGCAACGTCATAGAACAAATCCGCAAAAGCATTGTTATTAGTCACTATCTTATAATAAATGCAAGTAAATCACATCGATTTATCCCATCAGCTTAATTGTATTTAAAAATATATTTTGCTTTGAACTATAAGATGGCTATATTTATTGAAAGGCGAGGGCAATGAATGTTTATGCATAGACAATTTTGCAATTTATTTGGGCATTAGCTAGATTGATTTAGTATTTGATATTGAGCTTGTAATATGGACCATTGTATCATAATCCATGTGAACCCTAAGTGTCAAAGCTCATATCATCGGTAAGCATCTCATAAGATGACTTATTTGGATGGTTAAGAGTATATATCATGCTGACCAGTCTCTTACCAACCATCGTTGTGTGAAAGAAGAAATATCATTTCATCTTAAATTCTCTCCGTAATTCTCTGCTGTTCCCGGAAAATCCAAAATCCAAAAGCCAAAAATCCAATCCCAAATTCTTCTTCCTTACAAAATATAAAATACGATACAATAGTCTAGCACTAACAAAGAAAAATATGCTTAATTTCTCATTGCAATAGTTTTTCATTTCTTAATTTCATTTCCGTTCACTGTAAAGTCAGTTGCATCATAAGCTTGGGAAGAATTGGCAAAGCCGGACTTGAAGTGGTATGAATACTATCCCAGCGCCGTGGAGTTGGCCTCCATGTTTCTTCCTGGTACAAGGATGAACCACAAGGTTCATTTCCTGAAAACACCATTAACGTTAACACCAGGGAGCTTAATTCAAATTTTTGTAGAAAGGAAGAATTGACGTGTTTCAGTCTGTCTTTGTAACTAATGGAAACTGGTGTGCAGTCCAGAAACGGCAATAATTTTTTTTGTTCAGTTTCCAAAGGCCCCTTCCGCAAAAACCAGACAAACCCGTAAATCAGTATTCATCTTGTTAGTGAATTTGAGGACATGCCAATCCTATCTAGCTGCTGTACCAGGTAAGGAGACGATTGTTTCAAATACTACTTAGGCTTCACATTACATACGAAACCCATATTAATTGCACACTTATGACTTTAACTCCGAAACACTTTCTTCGATGTTGATGGACATGGGAAGTGCTTGTTGGAGAATGAGTAGTTTGAATAAAGCTCAATTTCTGGAAAAACACTGTTGCCTCGATCTGCAGTCATCTGCTGTTGTACGTGATGATATTTCATTTTTTTTTTTTTAGCTACAACATCAAGTTAACAAATAACAAATTCAAAAGGAACTTCATTCAATCTTTCGAACATCATCTAAAGTATCAAGTCCATCAGCTAATGTAAAAATGCTTTTGTAACGAATGGAAACTTAAATCATTATGCATTTTGTTTGTGAGTTAGAACATGTCAATCCTATCTTGGCGGCTCTACCAGGTAAGGGGACGTGAATCCTGCTCTTGATCATTCAATGTATCGCCATCGTCATATAGGATTCAAATACTGTTTAGGCTTCACATTTGATATGACAATTAAAAACCCATATCAATCTGCGGCAGCCTACAGCATGAAGTTTAACTCAATCTTTCGAACATCATTTGAATTAATAAGTCCATTAGCTATAATAACAAAATGCTTGAGACAATGCCAATCATGATTAAACAGACAAGGAAAAGTTCTGCTAAACACTCTGAGCGTTTAATTTCTATACGACATCAAACACAATTTCGGACTACAAAATCTACAAATTAACTGAAGCAATTGAATAGGATTCCCCAAGATCCCCAGTCAACAAAAAACTCCTAATTTCTCTGTTACGAACTGCACTGAAATCCTACTCTTAAATTGAAGTTGATCTATTACGAGCTACTAATCCTTGCCAAAGTGGCTCTTCGGAGTCAAATATTGTACATCATCATGTTCAAGACTTGGCCGAACACCACAACAAAGCGGGATTTCTTCACATTCATCGGGATAAACAGGGCGAAGGCTTACCCTTGGTTTTCTTGGTGGCAGCAGAGGAAGAGGCGTTTCCCCTTTAAGAATCCTTGCAGCCTCCTCCACTGTTGGCCTCTTCCCGTAGTTTGGGTGCACACAAGCAAGTCCAGTCATCAGCATCCTCTCCATCTCTACCATATCAAACTTCCCCATCAACGTCAGATCAGCAGCTTCAATCAGTTTCCCCTTTTCCCACATGCTCCAAACCCAATCAACAACCACTGTTCCATCATCCTCCACCGGCTTTCTTCCCGTTGCCACCTCTAACACCACCACACCAAAGCTGTAAACATCAGTTTTAACAGTTGGAACACCTGAATAAACATATTCTGGAGCAAGATATCCCATTGTACCGGCTGGTATAGTTGCTTCTCTTGCAATGATTGAACTATGCTCATACACTTCTGCTAGACCAAAATCCCCTAGTTTGGCGTTAAAATCTGCATTGAGCATTATGTTGCAAGTTTTAACATCTCTGTGAATTATTTGCCTCTCACACTCCTCGTGAAGATATGCAAGAGCAGAAGCGACTCCAAGAACTATATTAAGTCTTTGCTTCCAGGACAGAACAACTGCTGAATTGAAGCTTTTGTGAAGAACTTTGTTGAGGCTTCCATTGGGCATGTACTCGTACACCAGGACCAACTCATTACCCTCACAGCACCACCCATGAAGCTGGATCAGATTCTTGTGCCGCAAACAACCCACCATAGTTGCAAACTCCGTAGAAAAAGGATTACGCAGACTACTGATCCCATCACCCCTCTCAAACCTTTTCACAGCCACTTCTCCACCAGAGGACAGAGACCCTTTATAAACCTTAGCTGATGCCCCTTCCCCGACAACCCTGTGTCGGTTAAACCCCATTGTTGCCGATCTTATCTCTGCAAGAGACAAACTCGTCGGAACTTTATTCGCCTCAACTCTACAAGTTTTGCCCTCTCTGCTCCTTCTGGCAGTGACCCTTCTCTTTTTCACACACACAAAACAAATGACAAAAACAAATGCGATTATGGAGACAACAAACGCGGCTAAACCACCCAACCCAAGAGCCATCTCCACTATCTTTGTTTTTCTTTCATGGGAACGATTTTCCGGGCTGCTTTTGGTACTTGAATCTGCTGGTGAAGAGCACATGAAGCAGTCCCCTTCTTCAAAGGCATCTGTAGGATTCCCAGGTGGAAGAGACCCGAAAGTCTTGAATCTCCACCTGTAAACAACGTGAACTGAAGAGCCCTGCCCATTCGAGGCTGAGAAACCGACACGCATGAACTCCTTGAACTGGTTGGAGAGGTCAATCTGAGCAACAAGAAGAGGCGTTGGGGGCCTAGTTGACGAGTATCCGACCCAAACCCGAATCATCTTGACAGCATCTCTGTACTCAATCCAAGCAGTAATCTCCCTCCCACTTGTCAAATCAATACCTCTTGAAACAACATCAACACAGGCAACAGACACAACTGTGTTCAAATCAATACCAATGTGGTTCCCATTGATGTCACCAACCATAGGATCAAACCTAGTATCGAATTCCACAGCGAAGAACGATTCTTTCGACGCTGAGGATGGCTCCGGAAGTCCCATATACCCCCCTCTGGATGATCCCAGAGAATCAACATCGGGGGTGATCACAAACGCAATGCCATCTCCGGAAGAACACAATCGGGAACTTGGGGTGATTGAGAAAGAGAATCGGCACAAGAAAGAGGCAGTGGCGTTGGTTTTCGAGTCAAGAAACCGAATTGGGTAGGCGTAAAATGCTCTTCCAACCCCAGGAGAAGCAGAAGGGGAGGAGGAGGGGCAGGTGGTGAGTTCTTGAGTGAGACTAATCGCGGTGTTGGTGATGGAAGCGTCGCCGAAGAGGGTGAGGTTATTGTTCGTCGCAGGCAAGAACGGGACAGAAAGCGAAGGGAAACTGAGGTTGGAGACGAAAAAGAAAAGGACCCAGAAGAGAAATGGACGAGATGAATGCATTGCTGTAAACCCAAATGCAGAAACTTTCTCGGGAAAATGAAAGGCGTAAACTTTCTCGGGAAAATTACAAAGAAACAGTGGTCAAGTAGTACCAGGATTGTCTTCCCCTCTGGATTTCTGCGGATGCTTCTGTCAATCTTGATACTTGAAAGCTTCAACCAGTCGAATGAATGAGAGAGAGGGACTGGGAGACGGAGCGATTTGAGAGGGAAAATTGCTCCATTTGATTGATCGACGAAAACCCAATTTTAGGTCCCGAGTTAAGAGTTTGCTATGTTGCACGAGAACTGGGCCTGCTCGTTTGTGTGGTGGGTAGAACTTCGATGGAGTATTTTGGACCCGTTTGTTACACAGGATTAGGAGGGATTGCCTTGGATAAGACTTTTATCCTGTTTGGTAAGGGAACTGAAGCAGGGCACATGATTCAAAAGGACTATAAAGGTTACTTCTTGCTGTAAGTAGAATGAGACTTATGTTTTGATCACTGAAATATCTAGAATTGTGTATTGTCTTTGTCCCGTACGATTATTTTCCTTCTCTACGGTTGTAAGGTGGTACACAGGTCACTAAGGTTTTCATGTCTCTCATTGAACTAAGAGATAATGAGCCATGTGTTCAATTCATTTTTAATTCACACATTCCTGTCATTTTGTCATTTTGTTGTCTTCACGAATCAAAGTATAATAGACTGGCTATCTCAAATAACACTATCTGAGGGGCACGGTGGCTCATTTTATAATTTTATAGTGATCCGGTTAATTTATAATTCGTAGAAACTCAATGACCTAATTAATTGTTAAAACTCTGAAGACATTCAATTGTAGTGAGAAATTCCACTTTTAGTTTTGAAATACTGCTATTTGTGCCAAGTTGCATTAGTGTTTCTTGTTTGTAAATTTACCCAAATTTTTAGTAGGTTTCCCGGATGCGCTTAAAAAAAAAAAAGTTAAGAAAATTATTAAGTTGGCCATTTCACCTTATCCTTTATTTGTTTTTTTATTTTCAAATACTTTTTCTCCAGAATGACTAAATAAGGTGGTAAGGATCATCATCACTTGAAGATAGTGTCGTATCTATGGTTGCTCATTACAACACTTTAGCCAAAGGGCCCCTTTGTAATTTTGGTGCCAAATTTTGTGTCATTGAACCAAATTTTATAAATTTATACTC